GGCGAAACGCTCGAAAGGAACCAGAGAACTTCAGCAGAAGGAGCAAACCGCTCGAAAGAGTCTAGAGAATTGCGAAAGAGACTAGAGAACTTGAAAACAAGGAGCAATCCGCTCGAAAGAGACTAGAGAATTTCGAGAGCAACTAGAGAAATTGAAAGCAAGGGGCAAACCGCTCGAAAGTTTGACAACAAGGAGCAAACCGCCGATTTTTAGAAGAACCGATTTTTAGAAGAAGGAGCAAACCGCTCGAAAGAGACTAGAGAATCTCGAAAGAGACTACCGAATCTGAAAACAAGGAGCAAACCGCTCGAAAGTAACTAGAGAAATCAGAAGAAGGAGACAACCGTTCGAAAGAGAGACTAGAGAATTTGAAAACAAGAAGCATACGGTTCGAAAGGAACTAGAGAATTTCAGACCAAAGAGCAAACCGCTCGAAAGAGACTACAGGCAGGTTCACAGTAGGGAATTTCGAAAGAGACTGGTCAAGTGGAAACAAGGGGCAATTCGCTCCAAACGATCTAGACAATTTCAGAAGAAGGAGCCAACCCCTCGAAACAAGTCGGAAGAAGTAGCAAACCGCTCGAAAGGCCGTAACCCGGACTGCAATGCTCGCCACTACCCCGCTTGTGGTTGCATTGCTGAATTTTCAGCATCAGCCGAAATGCCGCGCGATGCCCGTTTATGCAGACGCAAAGCATGTGTGTTGGCTTTTTGCGACTAGAGCTTGATGCCCTGCATCGCCAAACAAGGGTCCCGCTTGGACGCTCAGGTCGCTTTTGATTCACATGTTTTTCTGCTCCTCGCTCTCTCAGATTGCGTCTATATAATCCCGCAGAGTCCAGACTCCCAGTCCCAGCTTTCCCATGCGTAGCCACAACATCCTTCCAACTTGGATCATGGCTAAGCTCTCCGGTGACTATGTCTACCATTTGGTCCGGAGCATGCCAGACTCCGAGAAAGAGAAGTTCGCTGAGCTGATGTTCGGCCCGACTCCTCTTCAACACCGGCTGTCGAAGCTAAATCCACTTCGCCCCCCCCCAGCTCCAGAAACGGCGGCCTCAGCGCCTCGAAGAGTTGAAGAGTTTGTGGACACAGTGCCCACTGTGGGCGCAGGCAATGGTTCGTCCCAGCCCCCTTCAGCGCCAGCTGCCCGCTTCTTCCTCCACTACGTCTCCGCTGGGCAGGAGTCGCCCAAACAGCCTCCTCCACAACGGCCAACGGAGGACCCGGCCACGCAGGCCCAGCTCTCAAGGCGGCATCTGTGGCACCACGACAACCCCAGCTTCGGGAGCGCCAAAGTGATCGAGGTGGATGATGATGCAACTTCGGGTGGCCATGGGCCGCAGCAGCCCGCGCCAACTTCTGCCGCTCCGCCCGCCACGCAAGCTCAAGGCGGCGGTCAGAATCAGGGAGCGAGGTCGGATCGTGCCCCGCTGTTGGCAGCGCAGGCGCCAGCTTCCCGTATCGGCGACACCATCAGCGATGCGGACGGCACCCCCTTCTTCCAGCTTGTACAATTATGGGCGTGCAGGAAGATTTGCTGCCGGTGCCAATATGAGCACTGCCAAGCTACATTCGCAGACCGCTCTGCCACATACCACGCAACCCACTTGTGCCGCGATTGTAAGCATCAACAGGGACGCCAACAAGCAGAACAGCAGGTGGAGCAGGAGCGGCAACGAGACCAATCCTCCACCCCTTGGCCAGCTTCCCGCTTGGCAGCAGTACGACAACGGATGGCACCAGGGCTGGAACTGAGGAGGCCAGTTATCCCGCTTAGGGCCATCCCCTCCAAACGTTGTTTTGGGCAATGGCCCCGTTGCGCGGAATCGGCCGCTTTAGGCCTTCATGACAGGAGTCTGGACACCGCTTTCCCGCTAGTGAAAAGCCAGAGACTCGAGCTTCAGCCATGGCCTGGTGGATCACCATTTCGTGCACCCACTTGAGCTTCCCACCCACACAGCTTTTCATCTCAAGCCCTCCGGGTCGCTTAGACGGGAGGGAAAGCTCCCCTGGGCTCCCGCTTTTGCCTGATCCAGGCATAGGGTGCACGTGCTTTGGCACCCTTATCTCGACTTGCGACTGCCCAGGTCAAGGAGCCACCCGCAGCCGCCACCTCAGTTAGCTCATTTTCTTTAGCAGAGTCCCGTCACTCTCAGGTCGACCCCAGAGGACTTTCAGCAGCTCGCTTCCGACTCGAACGTACCAGCCACCAGAGGTGTTGAATCTGCTCTCCAGCGATGCAGCAACGTTTGCACGCACTTGCAACAGCAACACTGAATTGGAGGATTTGATTCACACCCTTTGCACCTACAGTGGCTTTTGGCCAAGCATCCATCGTGCGTGCGCGAGTGAGTTTTATTCCCCCCGAAGGTGTAGTCAAAATTTGACTTCAATGAAAAAGGTTTTCGCGCATGTGGAGAGCATGGTCAAAGTTTGCACTGCAGCTTTCGGTTTGAGCTTTTCAGAGGAGCTTGGCTCCAAAAAGCTTTTCTGCTTTAGCTCCTTGTAGGGGCTAGTAGACCTTGTAGCTAGCTTTTAGCCTCCTGGTAGCTGTGCCTTTTCGGATTATACTATAGTAATCCGACATGGATCACGCCGGCCGAAGTTTTCGTGCCAAGAGTTTAGATGCGCCTTGGCCCCGCAGTGCGGGTGTGCCAAATCAGCTCGCATCGCTGGACATGCTCACGCGCATCCGACAGTGTCGGCTTGCCTTGCATTACGTGCAGAACACGCCTCTAGGTGTGTTAGAGCCATTAGGGAGGAATGCGGCGACCATGAGATAAGTTATCTTCTGCGTTGCCTTGAGAATGCCTGGCTATTGAGAAGGAAGGAGGTCATCAGTGATGATTTTACCGACTTCGAGGATGAGCGCGAGGCAGGTCAGTGGCCGCCTTTTGGGCGCTGGCTCCAGCTCCAGGGTGAGGGGCAGTGCCCGCCCTATGAAGTGGTATAACGAGGACCCAGGGCTATCGTGGTCTGGCCTTCACGAGTGGCCCCCGGTGGGAGAGATCATGAACCAACTGCAGCGCCTCAACACTGCACCTGGCGGCTGCATTCCAACATGGGCCCGTGCCAACGTCGAGGTGATAAGGGCACGGGAAAAGGCAAAGGAAACTCGTTCGATATTTGGTAATCTTTTTCGCGCGGTTATTCTCTCTAATTAGCTCCTTTCGAGCGGTTTGCCCCTTGTTCTCCAATCTCCTTCGAAATTTCTTAGCCTCTTTCCGGCGGATTGCTCCTTGTTCTGAAGTTCCCTTCGAACGGTTCGCTCCTTGCCTCTAATCTCTCTCGAAACTCTCTAGACTCTTTCGAGCGGTTTGCTCCTTTATCCGGAAAACTCTAAGTCATTTCGAACGGTTTGCTGTCTGTTTTCAAACTCTCCAAGTCTCTTTCCACATTCTCTAGTCTCTTTAGAGCGCTTTGCTCCTTGTTCTGAAAGTTTCTACAGTAGTTCCTTTCGAGCGGTATTCTCTTGGTTTGCAAATTCTCTAGTCTCTCTCGAAATTCTGTAGTCTCTTTCCAGCGGTTTGCTCCTTTTTCTGAACTTCTCTAGTTCCTTGCGAGGTCTCTAGTCTCTTTCGAGCGGTTCGCTCCTGGCTCTCAATTGCCCTAGCCCCTTGAGCGGTTTGCTTTTTTGTTTCAATGTCTCTATAGTATTTTCCAAGCGGTTTGCTCCTTTATCTGTCCCTTTGGAGCGGTTTGTCCTCGTTTCAATATCTCTAATCTCTTTCGGGCGGTTTGCGACTTCTTCTGAGATTCTCCAGCTCCTTTAGAGCAGTAGCGGTTTGCTCCTGCTTCTGAAATTCTCTAGTTTCTTCCGAGCGGTTTGCTCCCTGTTTTCACATTCTCTAGTCTTTTTCGTGCGGTTTGCTCCTTGTTTTCCACTTCTGTAGGCTTTTCTCCAAATTCTCTAGTGTCTTTAGATTCGAATTAAAACCCTGCAAGGACCAAAGCCTGAGCATTTTAATTCGAATTAAAACCTTGCGGCGAGGACAACTTGCAGATTTGAATTCGGATCTAAGCTGCAGCCGGCATTCCCGGATTAAATTCGAACCGTAAATGACCGCAAAGCATTAAATTCGAAGCTGAGCCCTCTACGCGGGCACCTGAACCACACACAGAAAAGGCATAACATCGAATTTTCATCCACATTGAATCTGAAATTCTACCATAATCTTACGATTTCTCCCACTAAATTGGTCTAGACTGGGCTGAGATTTGCAGCTTAGCTTCTGCATTGACTTTCCGAGGAGCTGCCTCTATACAACCCTGCTGAGATCTTCGGCTGGTAGGGTAGACTCTGACTCCGTGAAGGCTGAATGGAGCAGAGCTCAAAGGGAACACGACATGTCGTGGTCGATCCGGCAAGCCGACGGACACCCGTCAAGCTCTGAGCATATCTCTTCCCTAACATCACGAGTTGCACTAGATCAGTCTGAATTCGGAATACTGGAATAACGAGTCCGCAGCACGTGCTCCGATTTGATTCCCCCCTCGCGTCGCGCACAATCCGCTCTTGTTACACCCCTGCTGGCAATCAATTTCTCGCCATGGCAAAATCGCAAAACAACGCGGCTCCAAGTTGCAAACTTAAACGAGTCACGCTTGATTTTAGTTTAGGGAGCTGTTGGGGAGTTTCGCACGCCTTCTCACGCATCTGCTGTGTTCTCGCATCTCGCAACTTGTCCTTCCGGTTTTTATGACAGCGACAACAAATTTTGGATCTCTGTAGGAAGTCACTTGGAGTACTGGGCTGAACCGGACTTTTCAACTCGGCTCAGATAAGGAGGTTTATTCCATGGTCCATGGCACACAAGTATGAACCGAAACAATCGAAGAGCATTCGCTGACCACCAATGATCTACTACTAGTGTCTGTCTATGCTCGTAACTGTACAGCCAAGGCCGCGATAAATCTGCTCCGTCCAAAGCCGAAGCCGAAAATCCACGGCCACAGAAGGTTGAGGCCGGCTCAGCACCTCCTAAGCCTCCTAAGCCTTAATCATCTTTCTCCAAGTAGTCCAGAGTCTTGCGCAGCAGGGTTTTGGTGATGTCCCCAAACTTGTACTCTTCCTGGACAAGTCTCGCAACTGCCCGTAGTAGCTGGTTTCCAGCATATGCTACACTAAGGAGTACATTATCTTTGGCATTCACTACCTTCCGATAAATGCCCCCCTCTCTCTGTTCATCCATGGACGAGGGCCTGCTAACTCTCACAAGCAGAGGCTCCGTCAGCCAAAATATTATTCTCGGTAAAGGTTACCAGCCAAAGGTCCCCGGAACGGTCCTTCATCGCCAACCCATAAGCCTAGTTTTCGCACTCTTCCGGAACATTTCTGTCATGAGTTTTTCCCTTGTCACAAGCCAGGTCCTTGCCCGTGAAGTCAGCGATCTTGTCCATAGCTTTGTTCACCGCAGCCTTTGTGACGTCTCCAAATTGGTACTCCTGTTTGAGGCCAAGGCTTCGGCTGGGTGTTGCGCGCAAGCCCTCGTGGAACTCGTCTGCTTCGACACGACGACGGAAGAGATTCGTTCATGATCAACGAACAGTGGATTATAGGGCAATCCGCCGAGAGAATTCGGGGTTCTTGCAAAACCTCGACAGTCATGCCGGCACCTTAAGTTGCTCCATGTGCCTCCTGGCCCAGTAGTGTGGCAACTGCAGCCTTTGCACGTGTGGCGGCTTCCTTGCTAATGTCCCCGAACTTGTACTCCTGAGAACGAGGGCTTGGCTCCAAATTTCAGGATGTCACACGTAACAGTTCTTCAGATTTGTTACGTGCAAATGGACTGAAACACAGAATCATGGCAACTAACTACTTTCAATGTGTTAGTTTCGGCCCGCAGGCTCTGAGTTGTAAAGTGTTGACACGAGGCTGGTGAGTCGGGTATTGCTTGCACAGGCACCGGCTCCAGCCCCATCGCAACATAAACAATTCACAGCTCCGCTGTGTGCAAACAATTAGCGATATGCCACCTCTAGCGTAAATTAGGCACCCGACAAGTGCATTGAGCTCTGTGTGGCTCCAGTTCATCCAGTGTCGAAGTTGCTCACATGTCAAACTTTGCCCTCGGAACCGAGGACCCAGGATTTTCAACCCAGGGCTTGAGACTGCTGGTCAGTCTGCTGCACTTGAAGTCATGATGTTTGTCGTCCATACGTCTTCAGCAAATGCAATCCTCTTGCCAGAGCCCATGACACCCCATAATTCACCTGGAGCACATTGGGAGCCCATCCAAGCCCAATGAAGCACGGGGTTTCTGGAGGTTTGTTGCCGAAAGATTCGAACCTATCATGTATGCACTGCGCGTTGCAAGCAGTGGGGGTCTTGTGATGGTAGCTGGCAGCCGCTCCCAGTCGCCTATGTAAGTACAAATGTCTAGCCCAGCTCGACGAGGTGGTCGTGGAAACGCTGAAATCTCGAAACACAAAACCAAGAGCCTGTTTCTTTCCGCCGCTCCTCCTTGCCGGTAAAGGCCAGCGCAGCCTCCTTCGCTCCCTCCTTGATTTGGCCAGCCACGGGCTTCACTACCTTCAAGGCCCAAGGGACTGTTTCGGCACCCCATGTCAATAGCAACACCAACGCAACGGTTGCTCTTGAAGCACTGCAAGCTTCGTCCTATTTACCTTCTGCATATGTTTGCACAAAGAGGATTCCTCGGCTGGTGCATTCTGGTTAATGTGTCGGAATGCAGTCGCTAAGCTGATGAAGTGTGAGTTCAGGCGCATGGTCTTGTGGAGAAAGCCATGGACAGTTGCAGATTCAAGACACGTGAGCTGTTGGTAGAGCTGCTCGGAATCGAGTTCAACTGAACCGAAAAGTGCCGGTCTGTGCTCAAAAGCTACACAGGGAAGTTCCTTCGAAGCTCCGGGCACCTTCCGAAAACACAAAACCGCAACACCTTAAATGCAACCCTGGGTTTTAGGCCTTAAACACCCTGATAGAAACAGCAACTCTAAAATGCCTGTGAAAGAATGATCGGACTGCTTCCTTCCGGGGCCGCTTTGGCGGCATCGGCAGTGAGATACACATTGTCGAGCTTCTTCACCTCACGAATGGTGGGCGGGGGTCTTACATTTGGGGCTTGTAGGTTTCTATGAGGCTTGATAAGTTCTGTGTGGGAGTGTCATAGGGTTTCAGACTTTAGAGTCTAAACTTTAGAGGGTTTCCAAGAAGTAGGAATCCGCTGTAGCTGGGAGTCCTTATCGGAATCATCCTACTACGAGTACTTAGTTGCCCTCGATAGAAACTCCCTCCCACCTCTGTACTGTATGCTATAGATGCAGAAGACTTCACGCTCCTGCGTTGATGCATGGTCCGTAGGAGACAGCGTTTCCATAAGTGGCAGGGGGCTTGCAAATCAAATCCACACGAAAGTGAACTTGCACCTGTTGCTTTCCATTAGGTCGTGCGGCACAGCTTTCAAACCGGCTTGGCCATGGTACTTCAAAATGAAGAAGCTCAAAAATGAGGCCCCTTACTTGGAAGGGCGTGGGGTTTAG